TCCACAAAGCTTAAAGAGTCAAAAGCAGCAAGAAGTACATCTGCACCTGAAAGATCTAATGTGGCCATGTGTATGGATGACTGTGCTCTCACATGGGAGGGCTCAGACGATTGTGGAGAAACAGATAATATACTGCTGTCGCAATTATGACTGACAACGGGAGATCCTTCCTTGAAATCACAAACATTTTTGCCTACCGATATCTCAGTAAGCATATTACTGATTTACCAGATTTGTCTGATAAAATTAGAAATCTCAGCATCAATAACAATACAACAATGTCCTAGAAGTAGAACCTGGAGTCATGAAAGACTCTTTCCAAAGAAATTCATGGCAGCAACATCTGATCCTGGCAAATAAAAAGATAAAGATAATGATATGGAACCCACAGCTAGAAAACCCCAATTTATAGGAACACTTTGACCGATGAAAATATACTAACTGGAGAAATCCACAGCTTCAACATCGGGAAACTAATTAAAGAATCGTATTTTTACAATAACATGTAGTAAAACTGTAAAAGTTTCCCCAACTCTTATGTTTAATGCAACTCATGGTATACATGAATTAATACATAGAAATACTTTAACCACTGAAAGTATACTAACTGGAGAAATTCACAGCTTCAACATCTGGAAACTAATTAAAGAATCGTATATTTACAATAACATGTAGTAAAACTGTATAAGTTTCCCCAACTCTTATGTTTAATGCCTCTCATGGTATACATGACTTAATACATAGAAACACTTTGATCAATGGAAATATACGAACTGGAGAAATTCACAGCTTCAACATGTGGAAACTAATTAAAGAATCGTATTTTTACAATAACATGTAGCAGAACGGTATAAGTTCCCCCTACTCTTATGTTTAATGCCTTTCAATTAATACATAAAATGCACGGAATATAAGGAGGAGAGAAACTGAGGAATAATTGATGCATGAAAGATATGTATAACTCAGCGAAGATGATTTATCTACAATGCAAACAAGACTAAAATTGTCTATGATGTAAATAATACTAGAATATCCCTTGTTTGGGCTCCATTTTAAAGGAAATTTGAGGGAATGAGTTCTGGAATGGATTTTTTTTTTTTTTTTTTGGGGAATGTGTGGTTAAAAAATAAAAAAAAGTTTTCGATTTACATGTAATATTATTTTATGGGAGAATGTGTGGTCGAAAATGAGTTCTTGGAAAAATGGGGGCCAAATATAGGCCTACTTTAACTGCTAAACAGTGAAACAGCTGCTAAAGAGTGAAACAGCCAACTCAAAAAGTACCAATAAATATGTTAATTTTGCTAAGAGCCACAATGTTTGGCTAATCCTGAAAAGAATTCAAAATACTTTTAAGCTTCTCTTTACATAACATAATTTTCAATAAAACGAACTTTTAAGCTCAGTGAAACATGCTCATAACATGATCAGAAAAGGATGTGGCCAAATTGTAGTCTTCCTTTCAATGCTACTTGCATTGTTTTTCAGAAGGAATTCTCAAAAGACAATAATTGGATGGCATTTAC